GCCTTCCCTCCCTCCCTCGCTCCCCTTTCAGCTTCTTTTATGAGTTGTCTTCCTGTTCCCCACTTCTCCAATTAGGTTGTGAATTCCTTAAGAACAGAGACTTCTACTTTTCTTTGTAGCCCTAGCCCTTAGCACTGTGTCCAGCACATAGTGACTGCTTAATGTTTACTATTGACTGAAAAACCCAAATACTTCTATGAATATTTTGGCTCCTGTGGGACCTTTCTTTCTAACTCTGATTGCCGTGGGAGTGTATAGTTCACACTGGGATTTGTAAGTCAAAGGTATGGACATTTCCGTCCCTTTTTGAGTATGATTCTAAATTGCTTTCTAGAATGGTCAGACCAATCTCATAACCCCACCAACTGTATCTGAATGTGCCTGCCTTCTCATAGCCCTTCCAGTTTAACTCTTTACTTTGTATCTTTGCTTATTTGGGCACTTCATTTTAAGAAGTAGAAGGCAGCCAGGATGGTCCAGGGCCTTGGAATCAATGAAAGGAAATGTGGATGGTTAGCCTGGAGAGGGGAAGACTTTGGAGTGGGCTATGAGGAAGATGTGATAACTGTCTTCAAGTATTTTAAGAGGTATTGTGGATGTAGAGGAAATTCTGATTTTTATAATAATCGATATGATGTAGGTAATGAATATACTGATAGATCAGATTTTGCAGAATTGCCTCTCTCGTGAGTCAGACTTACAATGCAGCTTGAACTATCAACCAAACCTTGATGATCCTGCAGTCACTGGCATCCTTGTGCCTGAGTACCTGAAGTGAAGTGAATCTGAGACTGTAGAGCCTTGTTCCCATCATAGTCCTGTGACCCACCACGTAATGACCTCCAAGGACTTGAGCAATATTGCTCCCAGAGGACTCCAGAATTGTTGTGTTGTCTTCCATTTGTGGGTTTGTCATGGAAAACCACTCAAGCCCAGGAAAACATTGTTTGTAATCCACCTTCTCCCCGCCCCCTCACCTTACTCACTTGTAATTTATGTATATAATCTGTCTTCACTTTAGCAAGGTGGAATTCTGATCAGGAGAATTCTCGATTTGCAAATCTGTTCCTCATATGAAGCTAATTAATTAAACCTGATTAGTGGCACTTTGTCTCTGCCCTCCTGTTTACTCATTCTCAGGTTACAGACTGGATCAGTAAAATCCTGTTAACAGGAGTAAGGGAAATTTAAACTAGTTCTATTTGATCCCAGAGGGCAGGAAGTTAGAAAGGTAGACTTTACCTTGAGGGTAACAGGAAAAAGTTCTAACAATTACAGCTATCCAATGAGCTGCTCCTGGAGGTACTGGGGTCCCTCTGATTTTTTATTGTTGTTATTGTTGTTCAGTCATTTCAGTCATGTCTGACTCTTCATGACCCCATTTGGGGTTTTCTTGGCAGAGATACTGGAGCGGTCTGCCATTTCCTTCTCCAGTTCATTTTACAGAGGAGGAAACTGAGGCAAACAGGGCTGAGTGACTTGCCCAGGGTTACACAGCTAGTGCCTGAGGCCAGATTTGAATACGTCACAATAAGTCTTCCTGACTTCAGGCCCCGAATTCTATCTACTGCACCACTTAGCTGCCCAGATAAATAAATATAAAGCATTAAACTTCTAAAATTGATATTATATTAACACATCAACTTTATTTCTGAATATATACCTTTACCATGCCCTGCCCAATAATCCATCTTTTGTAGGGATAGGGATAGGAACTCTACCCATGATTTCATTTCCATAGGGATCTCCCAGGTGAGGAGGTGGGCCATGTAACACAGTCTATGTATAGTTTCCTAGAGCACTTGAGAGGACAAGGGACTTCTCTGTATTCATTGCACACATTATTACTTACAGTACAGTAATTATTCCATGACATTCATGTACCACAATTTGTTTAACCAATTCCCAATAGATAGACATCTATCTTGTTTCCAATTCTTAGCTATCACATAAAGTGCTGTTATAAATATTTTGGTATATATGGGAACTTTTAAAATTTTTTTAAGTTAAAAAAAATTTTATAGATGGCTTCCTGGAGTCTCTGGTTTAAAGGGAATGGATATTTGAGTCTCTTTATTTACATAATTCCAAATTGCTTTCCAAAATGATTAGACCATTTCACAGTTCCATCAGCAATTAGTGTGTTTATCATTCTACAATCCCTCCACCACTGATTATTGCCCGTTTTATTCATTTTTGCCAATTTTCAGGAAGTGAGGTAAAACTTTAGGGTTGTTTTGATTTGCATTTCTCATTATTAGTGATCTGGAGAATTGTTTCATGTGATTGTGAATACTTTATAATTCCTGTGAGAACTGTTTGTTCATATCCCTTTTACCACTTATCTATTGGGGAATAGCTATTAGTCTTTTATTTGTTCATTGTTTACATATTGTGGATGTCAAACGCTTATCTGAGAAATTTGATACAGAGCTTTTCCCCCATTCAACCACTTCCCTTGTCCTAAGTGCATTTATTTTGTTTGTGATGCAGTTTTTCAGTTTCAAGTAATCAAAGTTATCTATTTTTATCTTTCGTAGTTGCTTCTATCTCGTTTGGTTGAGAATATATCTCCTACCTGTGGCTGTGAGAGGTATATGATGTTTCTCTTCTAATAGTGTGAAAATAAGATCTTTAAAGTCACATATTCCATTTAGAATGCACTGTGGAATACGGTGTAAGGTAATGGTCTATGCCTGATTTCTGCCAGACTGCTTTCCAGTTTTTTCGAAAATTTTTTAAAGTAAGTTTTTATTGATATTCTATTTCTCACATCACTATAGTATTACCCATATACGTCTCTCCTTTTGCCCTCCCTCAGAGTCATTTCATATGACAAATAGTGTTTTTTAAAAGAGGAATAAAATTTAGCACAACTTATCAGTACATAGAAAAAGATGAAGATGTGCAATGTGTAACACCTATGGGCCTCCATCCTCCAAGAAGGGGTAGGTTGGAGGTATCTTCTCATCTCTTTTCATTCAAGTCCTGTTTGCTTCTTATAATTTTGTCACATTTACTTTTGAGGTTTTTTCCTTTCCATTTACATTGTTATAGTTATTGTGTACATTGTTTCCTTGACTCTGCTTACTTCACTCTGCATCAGTTCATATAGATCTTTCCTTGCTTCTCTGTATTCATCACACTCATTTCTTAAAACATAGTCATATTCCATGACATTCATGTACTACAATTTGTTTAGCCATTCCCCAGTTGATGGGCATCTACTTTGTTTCCAGTTCTTGGCTATCACATAAAGTACTGCTATTAATATTTTGGAGTACATGAAGATTATTTTCCTATTAATGGCTTCTTTGATGTATAAACTCAGTAATGAAGTCTCTGGTTTAAAGGCTATGGAAATTTTAGTCACTTTATTTGCATAATTCCAAGTTGCTTTCCAAAATGGTGCACCATTTCATGGCTCCACCAACAATGTATCAGTGTGATTGTCTTTCTATAAACTTTCCAACATTGACTGTTGGGATTTTTTTTTTTGTTATTTTTGCCAATTTGCAAGATGTGATGTGAAAATTCAGGGTTGTTTTGATGTGCATTTCTCTTTATTATTAGTGATTTGGAGCATTATCTCATATGATTGCGAACACCTATCTGTTCCTCTTTTGAAAACTGTTCGTATCCTTTGACCATTCATCTACTGGGGAATGGCTATCAGTTACATAGACGTGCATGTATATGTATATATACATACATATGTGTATACATACACATATATCAACGCACATATGTGTATACACATATAACAACACACGTGCATTGATATATGTGTATACACATGTACACACATATATACATATGCATGTATGTGTACATTTATATATTATATATTTTAAAATATATGTTTGTTTACGTATCTTGAATACTGAACCTGTATCAGAGAAATTTGATAATGATTTTCCTCCCCAATCAACCACTTCCCCTCTTATCCTAGGTGCATTAACGTTGTCTGTGCAGAAGCTTTTCAGTTTCCTATTCCCTCTTCTGCATCCCTTCAGTTTTCAATTCTTAGCCAGCACAAAGAAGGGCCACTATAAATATTTTTGTACATATGGGTCCTTTTCCTCTTTCTTTGATCTCTTTGAGGTTTAGACCTAGTACTGCTGGGTCCAAGTATACACACCATTTGATAGCTTTTTGGGCATAGTTCCCAATCGTATTTTAGAATGGCTGAACTAGTTCACAGCTCCACCTACAGTGCTTTAGTGTACTTATTTTCCCACACGTCCTCCAGCATTTGTCATTTTCCTTTTTGCTACTTTGGCCAATCTGATGCATGTGAGGTGGTACTTGAGTTGTTTTAATTTGCATTTCTCTAAGTATTAGTGATTTAGGGCATTTTTTTTTTTATCTATATGGCTATTGATAGCTTTGATTTCTTCCTCTGAAAACTGCCTATTCATGTTATGGTGATCTTAAAAGAAGAAAGGGGAGGGGAAATGATATTTGGAAACAAAAGGGGAGAAATAGGGGAGAGAACTTTTGTCACAAAATCTGGATACAATTAGGAGTCTATTCAAACAAGGAACAGGTGGAGAAAGCAGTGTCATTTGAACTTTGCTTTGAACTGATGTTGAATGAAGTGAGGAGAACCAGGGGAACAATTTATGGCATAATAATGTAAAATTGAACAGTTCTGAAAGACTATGATCAGCACAAAGACTGACCATGATTCCAGATTAATGATTTCGAACCCGCCCACCCCTTGACACAAGGATGATGGACTACATGTGCAGAGTCATCCATTTTGTGAGGTGGCCTGTGCAGGGATTTATTTCACTTGTTGCAGAGTTCTTGTTTTTCTTGTCCCCTCCCCCCACCTCCCCAGTGGGGGAGAAAGGTGGGAGGGAGAGAGAATGGTTGCTTGTTAATTGGAATAAAGAGAAAATTTAATTTAAAAAAGAAAACTCATAGTTATTTTATTGTAACAACATTTCCCTATAATATTTTAATAATAAATAATAATAATATATTCTAATGCCTTATTTACTGGACTTTGGCAAATTAAATTTCACTTTTTCTTTTTTGTTCTTGTGCAATAAATTCTGGAAAAATGATTTTAATTTTTGTCCATGTTCTGATTTTAACAGTTTTGGAATGATATATCCAAGCCAGAGGAAAATCAACATGAAACCCAACGTAACTATGAAAACTAAATAATCAGGTAGCACCTGTTTTGGGAAAGCACCATAGACGTATATGCTGAATGTGGTGGTCAAATCACAGTAGCTACAAGAGAAAAGAAATAATGTAGGTGAGTCCTGATGATTCACAGTTTGATCTCAAAGTCACTATTTAGAAGTACTTTTTCCCCCTCTGTGAGGTGGGGGTGGGATGGGTTGGGAAAGCATGGAATATTAGAGAGACCAGAACTTCTCCTCTTGGTAAGAACCAAAAGCCAGCAGGGATAACCCTCGAGAGGAAAGGTTCAAGATTTTACAAGAACTAAAGACAGTCATAACCCTTTTTCCTCCCCTTCTCTCTATACCCAAATGACATCCTCACTCCCACCCATGATTTTGGACTCTAACTAGCTGCAGAATTAAAGGAAGATGCAAAGAAGGGAGAATTTCCAGGCTGGACTCCTCTTTTGGCCCTGGATAGAGGGGAGGAATATGAGATGCTGCTGCCTGTCATTCCACTATTAGAGTTTTATTGCTTCCAGTCTGGAAAACTTATGGTCTTTGGTCAAACACTCAACATGAAGAATGAAGGGGAGGAGTGGGGAGGGATTGCTGCATACATATATTGCCAATATCTGTGTGTCATTCCCCTCCCAATAACGTTCTAACCTGTTGCCCTAGAAAAAAAAAATAATCTCCCCAGTGAACTCTTTTTTTATTTCAACTGACCTGTAAAAGGGATCCACAATACGTACTAAAAAAACATAAATTCCATTTCTTTGATCAAAAATGATACTATTTTTTGTTGAGCCCCCAAGAACCTGGTATTCAACATTAGGCCATAACAATGGAGCACTTTCATGGTCTTCATGGCAGCTGAGATAATTCTAAGAAAGACGAGAGAAGTTTTGAATTAGTAAGGGGCCCATCATTCCCCTCAGCTCACTGGTTGAGTCTGGAGAGTTGAAATACTCCTTGTTTTGCTTGCCACCAACATGGTTCTCTCCCTACCTTCACCACTCAGTAACCTCTCCACCTTTGAGGTTCATGTTATTCATCTCTACCACCTAATCAAAATCCTGGTAGCTGTTGTTTATAGACCCCTGGGGTAACTTCCCTTCTTTCCTCAATAAATTCAACACCTGGCTCATAATTCTTCTCCCCTCTGAAACTCCTGCCCTAACACTAGGGGACTTCAACATACATATTGACTCTCCCTCAAACACCCTCAACACACAGCTCTTCAACCTGCTCATTTCTCATGAGCCCTCCTCTGCCCTACCTCAGCAATACTCAAAAATGGTCATACCCTAGATCTTGTCGTCATCAACAAATGTACTATCACCACCATATTCAAGGATTCAGAAATCTTCTCGGCCCATAATCTATGAACTTTCCACCTCTCCGTCTGCCTTATCTTACTTACAAAAACCCCACTCTTCCTTCTGCACCATTACCTCTAATCCTGTGACCCCTCCGTTCTCTCCCAGGTCGTCTCCTCTGTATTAGCCCCTCTCTTCTTTTTCCCATCTTGACCCCATGGTGAATCAGTTCAACTCTGTATTTTTTTCTTGAGTCCTTGACCCCCTTATCACATTACCAATTGTACCCTGCCAAGCGTCAGCCTTGGAAAACTCCCACCATCTGCCGCCTTTAAGCCTATACATAGGCTGCTGAACAAGGGTGGAGAAAATCATGGAACCATTCTGACTGGATCCACCATAAAATTATGTTATATCACCTTGACTGGGCCCTCATTGCTGCTAGGCAGTGCTATTATACCTCCCTTATCAACTCCACCACAGCTCTTCTAAACCTTTTCATCCCTCCTCAAACCTCCCATGACTCTTTCCCTCCATTCTCTCAGCTGAGAACCATGCCTCCTATTTTACAGAAAAAAAAAAATTGAGGCTATTCACTATGAACTATGTCTTTTCCCTTCTGCCTCATCTCTTATCACTCAGATGCCTTCTGCCACTATCTCCTCCTTCAATTCTATTACATCTGGTCTTCTTCAACAGATTGCTCTGTCTGTGATCCTTACTCCTTTTTTAAGTTTTTCTTTTCCCCAGTTACATGTAAAGACAATTTTTAACATTCATTTTAAAAACATTTTTTTAGTTCCAAATTTTCTCTCTCCTCCTTACCTCCCTCATCCCTGAGAAAGTAAGCAATTTGATATAGGTTATACATGTTCAATCACACAAAATATTACCATATTAGTCATGTTGTGAAAGAAGACACAAACCCAAAGAGGGAAAAAAAGCATGAAAAAAAATACAGGAAATGAAAAACAGTATGTTTTGATCTGCATTCGGACTCCATCAGTTTTTTCTCTGGAAGTGGGTAGCATTTTTCGTCATGAGTTCTTTGGAATTGTCTTGAATCATTACATTGCTGAGAATAGCTGAATCATTCACAGTTGATCATCATACAATATTGTGGTTACTGTGTACAATGTTCTGGTTCTGATCACTTCACTTTGTATCAGTTCACATAAGTCTTTCCAGGTTTTTCTGAAATCCACGTGCTCAATATTTCTACTATCACAGTAATATTCCATTGCAATCATATACAACAACTTGTTCAGCCATTCCCCAATTGATGTGTCCTCACTCTTTCACTTATTTTCAATAGCTCTCTGCCTACTGGCTCATTCCCTACTGCCTACAAACATGTCCATGCCTCCTCTATCCTGAAAAAACTCTCACTTGATTCTTCTATCCCCACTAATTATCATTATATACTTCTTCTGCCCTTTGTAGCTATACTCCTTGAAAAGACTGTATACTAGGTGCCTCTGCTTACTCACTTCTTAACCCTTTACAGTCGGGGTTCTGACCTCATCATTTCACCGACACTTCTCTCTCCAAAGTTATTATTGTTCAGTCTTTCAGTTGTGTCCAACTTTTTGTGACCCTATTTGAGGTTTTCATGGCAAAAATACTGCAGTGGTTTACCATTTCCTTCTCCAGGTATTTTATAGATGAGGAAACTGAGGCAAACAGTGACTTGCCCAGGGACACACAGCTAGTAAGTGTCTATGGACAGATTTGAACTCACAGAGATGAGTCTTCTTGATTCCAGGCCTGGTGCTCTATCCACTATGCCACCTAGCTCCAAAGTCACCAGTGATTTTTTAAGTGAGATGAAGACTCACAAAGACAATAAAATGTATGGATTTGTTGTGGGTGCTGGTGCCTCTCATTACAAACTTTCTCTCAATGGAACTCATGGGCCTGCTCTCTGTAATTTCAGATACCCCTTTTTCTGATGCCCTAGGATAAGACTTCAATCATTTTTTTAATACTGGTAATGAAATTTTTGGACAAAGAAGTTCCACACCCCGTCTGTGCTTGTAGAGGCATGGGTGTCCTTTGGATTTTCCATAGCACCATATACTAGGCTATGGAAAGAGGATTAGGTTTAATTTCCTTATTTTGCCGATGAGGGAAGACTATGACCCAGAGATGGAAAATGGCTTGCCCAAATCGCATAGCTAATTGGAGGTACAACCAGAACTAAAACATGGGTCTCCTGACTCCTAGTCCAATATTCTTTCAATGTAGAGGTGATAGAAATATGAATACACTCTACATTCTCTATCACATCATGTACTAACTGGGCCATAGAAAGGAAGCATGGAGACTGAGTACAAGTCAAGTATTTTTTGAATGAATAAGCTTTTAATGTTGTTTAGTTGCTTTTTCATATGTATCCGACTCTCCATGATTCCAATGGGGTTCTCTTGGCAAAGATACTGGAGTGGTTTGCCATTTCCTTCTCCAGCTCATTTTACAGATGAGGAAACTGAGGTAAACAGGATTAAGTGACTTGCTCAGGGTCACACAGCTAGGAAATGTCTGAGGCTGAATTTGAACTTAGGTCTTCCTGACTCCAGTCCTGGTGCTCTATCCACTGCATCACCTAGCTGCCTCAAACTTTTAATATAGGATGTAAAAGACCCTTGACTGCCCTTTCGCACTTTCTTTTTAAAGCTGTTAACTTCAGAATGAGCATTACCTGTCTATTCCAGGAGTGCACACCTTTGACAGTAGAGGCATCTATCATTGAAGACCAATTCTGAGCCTGTGACACGCAGGAAGCCTCGCCAACAGTCATGGAATAATTGTAAGTATACAATCCATGTATTTCTATTAGGACAAATTCCGTCTTCACAACTTCCACACGTCGTGTTTCTTCCCAACTGTGGTGTACAGACACAAAGAGAAAGTATGTGCAAATTAGTGGAATATGCAAATGCAATGTTAGGTCGGGATGATTGGGATAGAATCCCCAAGGGTGAGTCTGTGACTTCTGAGAGCTTTGGCTGGGGAAATTACAAGCACTGGCAAGGATCAAAGTCTGGGAAGTCAGTAAGTCAATCAGGATTTTTATTTTAGCTATTCCTGAAGGATTTGGTTTTTTCATTAACTTTTTTCTGGTAACAATTAGACCAAACAATGAAGTTGTGGGGAAAGGATGAAAAAATGAAATTAATGTTGATTCCAAATCAAGTGGTACCAATATTTTAAAGAAACAAAACAAGGCAAACTGGCAGCTTTTATAAATACCAAAGAGGATTCCAACAATACTTTTTAAATATCATTTTTATTGATAACTTTTGGTTTTTGCATCATCAGAATTTCTCTCCCCCTTCTTCCCCCTTCTCCCTTCCAGACAGCTATCCCATATAACAAAGCATATTTTTTAAAGAAAAAAGAAAAGGAAGAAGAGAAAACAAATTAGTAAAGCCAGTCAGTACATTGGAAAAAGTCTGAAAATATATGTAATGTTCTACTCTGTGGACTTCCCACTTCTGCAAAGGAGTGGGTCCATAACTGTTTGATCTTCAGTTGATCATTCCCTTAAACAATAAGATTTCCTCCTTTCACCTGTTATTGAGTGTGGGAGGTGAAGATCAGCTACCATGCCTCTTATTCCTTAAGGAATTCCTTTTTCCAGCCATTCTTCCTTAAGGAAGTCCCAGGTCATAAAGGAGGTGGGATTGGGGGATGAGGGGGAGAAAAAGCTTCTTTATTTAAATAGTTGAAGGGAGTCTGTGTGAGGGCTTGATTAACTTCTCTGTCCTGGTTCCCCTTTTTTCTCAACTCTAACATATCTTAGCTGCTGTGACTCACAATTATGTTCTTTGGCATCTTGGATCCCCCTTCCCTTTTAGGCTTAAAGTCCTACGTGGAAATGAAAAGAAACATTTCCCTCCCTCTTTATGTATCACTCTTTAATATGAAGGGCTCCCTTTTACTGCTGGCTGCTAGTAAGGACAGGGATACATGTTGCACTGTGGTTTCATTGGTATAAGACAGTCCCATTGAAGAAACTGTCTCTAACAATGTAGGTCATCACCTTTTTCTACAAAATATAGTCTGAAAGCAGGAGTCCTTAATTTTGGGGGGGGATCATGGATCCCTTTGGCAGACTGGTGAAGCCTATGGACCCCTTCCCAGAAAAAAAATGTTATTAATGCATAAAATAACGTACATGGGATTACAACAAAAAGCAATTCCCTTGAAATTGTTGCTATTCAGTCATTTCAGTTGTTTCTGACTCTTCATGACACTATTTGAAGTTTTCTTGGCAAAGATACTAGAATGATTTTCCATTTCCTTCTCCAGCTCATTTTACAGATGAGGAAACTGAGATCAACAGGGTTAAGGACTTGCCCAGAGTCACACAACTAGTAAGGATCTGAGGCTAGATTTGAAATCAGGAAGATGAGTCTTCTTAACTTTGGGGCCTGTATTCTACCCACTGTGCCACCGAGCTTCCCCTGATTATACTGAAATACAATTATCAAAATGTTTTTTAAAAACAAGTTCATGGACTCCAGATTAAGAACCTCTGTCTTAAGAGAGTGATCTAGAGCACTGAGAAATTAAATGGCTTGCCCAGGATCACCCAGCTAGTGTGCATCTGAGGCAGGTCTTCAGCTGCAAGGTGGTGTAGAACAGCCATCTTATTCCTAAAAGCAATGATAAACATAAAATCCCACATGCATTAACAGAATGATTTAAACAGAATTCAGAAGCTCAATTTATATTATAGTCATATTACAATCTGTTGCAAAGCTGGTAGTAAGCTTCATTAAGAATAGTACAGTTTTATAAATCTGCTGATCAGATATTTCACATTTCACCTCTACTGAGCACAAACATGAAACAAGATTTTCAGAGTAGTGAGTTGTCCTGGTTATAGTGGAGTGGAAGGTAGATGCCCTTTATAGGGTAGCCTCATGCAATGATCTGCATAGAGTCTGTGATTCTTCCTAGCTGATATTCTGAGACCTACTGAATAAATTTAAATAAATAAGTAAAATCTTATGACATTTTTATGAACCCAAGTTTCTGAGCTCGCTCTCAATTTCTATTTTCTCATAAAGATCAGGAATAAACTAAAAGTGACCACAAAAGAAAACTGGTGGTAGAGAGCGTGCATGTTGCCTATTATAAAATGATCCAATGATGTCTTACAGTTCAATCACTGGTTTCCACGGACTGTTGTAATAGACCAGGCCTGGACATCCCAGTTCCTCATAATCATATATTATAGTCAGGTCCACATTATTTTGCTGGGGTCGGGAATGGTAGTTAGGGTCATATGATCCCCTATACAAGGAAAACAAGAATAATACTTTGTCAGTAGCATATAATTAATTGCTCTATTGTTATTTTGAGAGGAAGAATGACATATAGAGGTAGAGTCAAGATGGCAGAGTAAAAGCAGTGACTTGCTTGAGCTCTCCCCTAAACCCCTCCAAATACCTGTGAAAAATGACTCTAAACAAATTCTAAAGCAGCAGAACCCACAGAAAGACAGAGTGAAACAAAGTTCCAGCCCAAGACAACCTGGATGGGTGATTAGAAAGGTCTATTGCTCCTGGCTGGGAGAGGAATGCAGTTCAGTGTGGGTGCGCAGGCAAAGCAAGTCTCAGCAAATCTGGAGCAGGCCTCAGAGGACTGAATCACAGGCAGCTGTGGTGGTTTCCAGACTTCTCAACCCACAAATGCCAAAGACAACTTAGAAGGTCAGTAGGAAAAGTCTGTGACTGTGGTGAGAGAGAAGCTCAGTCCCAGCCCCAGTCCCAGCTGCAGCCCCCGGGTGGCAGCTGCTTCCAGAGCTTCTGGCCCACAGACTGAGGGGGAATTTAGTGACTGATCAGAGGGGGACTGCAGGGATTTCTTTGGTGGTGCTGAGACAGGATTCTCTTGCTTTGCCCATGCTTTGATCTGGGTCACAATTCTGGGTGGCAGTCCTGGGGTGAGGAGGAGTGCTAGTGTGGTAGAGCTTGTAATGGTGGTGGAAAGGAAATCCTCCTTACAGTTCCAAGGCAGAAAGGAGTGCTTGTGGTCACTCATAGACCAGAGCACAGGCTAGGAAAGGAGTAAACATCTCACTCTTGATCATACCACCCTGAAAAAACTGAAAATTTACAGGTCCTTAGAAGTATCTCTGAGAACAGCTGCACAAAACCCCCAGCTTGGGACAGTACATTCTCCACACTGTGAAGCAGACCCCTACCTTAACAAAGAGTTTAAAACTCAGGTAATTGGCTGGGATCACGCATAAACTGTGCAAAAAAAAAAAAAGTCAGACCATAGAATCTTTCTTTGGTGACAAAGAAGATCAAAACATACAACCAGAAGACGACAACAAAGTCAAAGCTCTTACATCCAAAGCCTCCCAGAAAAATATGAATTGGCCCCAGGCCATGGAAAAGCTCAAAAAGGATTTTGGGAAGTAAGTAAGAGAAGTAGAGGAAAAACTGGGAAGAGAAATGAGAGTGATGCAAGAAAATCATGAAAAACAAGTTAACAGCTTGCTAAAGGAGACCCAAAAAAATACTGAAGAAAATAACACCTTAAAAATAGCTTAACCCAAATGGCAAAAGAGGTCCAAAAAGCCAATGAGGAGAAAAATGCCTTAAAAAGCAGAATTGGCTAAATGGAAAAGGAAGTCCAAAAGCTCACTGAAGAAAATACTTCCTTAAAAATTAGAATGGAGCAAATGAAAGCTAGTGACTTTATGAAAAATCAAAACATTGTAAAACAAATCCAAAATAATGAAAAAATAGAAAACAATGTGAAATATCTCATTGGAAAAACAACTGACCTGGAAAATAGATCCAGGAGACACAATTTAAAAATTATTGGACTATCTGAAAGCCATGATCAAAAAAGGAGTCTAGACATCATCTTTCAAGAAATTATCAAGGAAAACTGCCCTGATATTCTAGAACCAGAGGGCAAAATAGAAATTAAAAGAATCCACCCATCGTGTCCTGAAAGAGATACCCAAAGGAAAACTTCTAGGAATATTGTAGCCAAATTCCAGAGTTCCCAGGTCAAGGAGAAAATATTGCAAGCAGCCAGAAAGAAACAATTCAAGTATTGTGGAAACACAATCAGGATAACACAAGATTTAGCAGCTTCTACATTAAGGGCTTGGAATATAATATTTTGGAGGTCAAAGGCGATAGGATTACAACCAAGAATCATCTACCCAGCAAAACTGAGTATAATTCTTCAGGGGGAAAAATGGACATTCAGTGAAATAGAGAACTTTCAAGCATTCTTGATGAAAAGACCAGAGCTGAATAGAAAATTTGACTTTCAAATACAAGACTCAAGATAAGCATGAAGAGGTAAACAGGAAAAATCATAAAGGACTTACTAAGGTTGAACTGTTTACATTCCTGCATGGAAAGATAATATTTGTAACTTGTGAGACCTTTGTCAGTATTAGGGTAGTTGGAGGGAAAAAAATTATATGTATGAATAGATAGATTGAGGGCACAGGGTGAGTTGAAGATGCAGGGGTGATTTCTGGAGAATAAAATTAAGGGGTGAGAGAGGATTATACTGAGAGAAGAAGAAAGGGAGAGATAGAATGGGGTAAATTATCTCATATAAAACAGACAAGAAAAGACTTTTACAGTGAAGGGGAAGTGGGGGAAGGTGAGAGGGAATGAGTGAATCTTATTTTCTTCAGAGTTGGCTTAAGGAGAGAATAATATACACACTCAATTGGGTATCTTACCCTATAGGAAAATAGAGGGGAAGGGGATAAGAGAGTAGGGGGATGATAGAGGGGAGGGCAGATTGGGGGAAGGGGGAATCAGAAGCAAATACTTCTAAGGAGGGACAGGGTCAAAAGAGAGAATAGAATAAATGGGGGACGGGATAGGATGAAGGTAAATATAGTTAGTTTTTCACAACATGACTACCATGGAAGTGTTTTGCATGACTACATATGTATAACCTGTATCGGGTTGCTTGTCTTCTCAATGAGGATGGGTGGGGAGGGAGGAAGGGAGAAAATGTGGAACCCAAAGTTTTAAAAACAAATGTTAAAAATTGTTTTCACATGCAACTGGGAAATAAGATATACAGGCAATGGGGTATAGAAATCTATCCTGCCCTATGGGAAAATAGAAGGGGAAGGGGATAAGAGAAGCGGGGGAGATAGAAGGGAGGGCAGATTAGGAGAAGGGGTATGCAGAATGCATACCACCTTGGGGTGGTGGGAGGGATGAGATGGGGAGAAAATTTAGAACTCAAAATTTTGTGGAAGTGAATGTTGAAAACTAAAAATAAATTTATTTTTAAAAATTCAAAAAAAAAAAAAGAATGACATATAGGTAGAAAGCCAGCTTTGAAGCTAGAAAACCTGGGTTCAATTCTTGCCTAACTGTATAACTATGGACATGTCACTTAATCTTTCTGAGCAACTCTAAGACCAGTTGTAGAGAAGGTGGAGAGCTGCATTGGCAGAGGAAATTTTCTCAGCTAAGAATTCTGGATACCAATGAAATCACAGGTCCAGGTTCTATCTGTTTTATAATGTAATATTTTTTGATAACAATGCAGAGTACCTGGTGTGGTGGTGCACAGCCCTACCTTAACATAAGAAGTAGTATGGTATTGTCTAAGAGCCCTGGTGGATATAGAGTCAGGAGAACCTGTGTTTGAATCTCAGCTGCCACATTTGCTAGCTGTGTGACAGTGGAAAAGTCACTTAACATCCTTGAACTTCAGTTTCCTCATCTATAAACGGGGATAACTTGTACCACTGACTTGATGTGCTTAAGGCTGGCAGTTTTCAGAAGAAGAAATCAGATATGATGAGGGGAATGGTTTCAGAAAAACCTGGGGGGACCTACGTGAATTAATGCAGAGTGAAACAAGTGGAACCAGAAGATCATTGTACATAGTAACAGTAATGTTGCAACAATGTTGTTCTTGTTCTTGTTTGTTCTTTGTGCTCAAAGAGGACCAAAATGACATCACACTGTCACAGTCAATGTACAATGTGTCCACCTATGGCTGATCATACCAGTATGATCGAGGAAGGCTCTACCACAGGTTGGGCACAGATAGTCTTTGGGACCATTTGAGAGGGAGATGTCCTAAATTTGCACATTTCACATGTCTTGTTGTAATGATAGTCAACTGTTAAAGACTTAGCTACTCTGATCAATGTAATCATCCAAGGCAATTCTGAAAGACTCATGATGAAAAATGCTATCCATCTCCAAAGAGAGAACTGATAAAACTCTGAGTGCAAAATGAAGTATAATTTTTTTGACTTTTATTTTTCTTGCCTTTTTTTTGCTGTTGACATGGCTAATATGGAAATGTTTTGCATAATTTCACATGTATAATCGAAATAATAGAGCTTGACTTCTCAATAGGTGGGGAAGGGGGTAGAGGGAAGGTGAGAATTGGGTCTCAAAATCGAAAAAAGATGTTAAAAATAATTTGAATATAATATTTAGATAGTGCTACTCCAAATATATATAGGGCTATCTAAATATATAAATTTACAGATGGGGTTCACAAATCATGTGAATGATCCCCTTCATTCTCTTCACACATAGCTTCTTTGAGGCACAGGGTTGTCTGTCAGGACACTAGCCAAGAGGGCATTACATATTGTTCTGTGTAAAGAACTGTTCAAATCCAAGGAGGCTCATTGGCTATATAACGCATAAAAAAGGCAGGAGTTGGAACATGGGAGAGTGTGTGATGTCTAACAGTGGCTCTGCCTAACCTTTTTTTTTTATTATTCTTCCTTCCCCCTTCCCTTCCCTTTATACCAGAGATTAAAGACTTGATGAATACAGATGAACAAGATGAATACAGAGGAGCGTGAGAAGACTTGAACTGCTGCCAGGTGAAGTCAGCAGAACCAGGAAAACAACTTTCACAATGACTGCAGTGAAAATGGCAACAACAATAACAGAAATGCTGGGCAATGATGATGACCATGCAATACGAGGATGCTCCTCTCTCCCTTCTTTACACAGGTGAGGGACTGTGGGGGTGGAACACTGCATATGATGTTGGACTTGTTCCTTTGGTGAGTTTTTCTGAATTAGTAATAGTTATGTGGAAAGGATGGATAAGCCAAGGATGTCAAGGGCAGAGGTTACAAAGAAAGGCAAAAGACAAAGCCTGCTCTCAAAAGCAAGGAAAGATATGCCACAGAAGACTCTGGAAGAGTTCAGCATGGCTCTTGGTTGACTCTATGGCGGTCTGTTAAAAACTTCTTAATAATAACCACCCAAAAAAACTACTCTCTGAGATACTTTTCAGGTAAGGCTTTTAAAAATAAACTCGTGAAGCCCTGGATCCTGGCAAGACTGCAAGGAGACACGCCAATGCCTCTGGAACAAATGTCTTCATTTACAGCTAGAAGATTTGAGTGAGTCTTAGTGGCAAGAAAAATCTGAAGGAGAACCAGTGAGAGGTAAAGCATGGGTTGAAGGGTAGATAGGTCATATGGAATCCAACACACAAGATGCGTCCTCTCCTTCTTCCCAAGAGATGTAGTTCTAGGCAGAGTTTTGTCTCTTGATGTTGTCCCTGAGATGTACTGAAGAGGTATGATGAGGCAACTGGACATGTTCTCCAGGATGTCTTGGGCCTGCCCATATAGCCCACAATCGTAGGCAGGACCCTGCCAATGGAAAGTTTCCTGAAATATGAGGTTCTTGTGCTCCAAGAGCTCACAGTCTAGGTGAGGAATAATAAAAACATTAGAAAAGGATTTCTATAGTGCTTTAAGGTTTACCTAGGGTTTTACACACATTATTTCCTTTTTTGGCAGGTGAAAAATGAAATGACTAAGGAAACAAAGGTTTGATGTTCTGAGCATATCAATTTATTTATTTATTTATTTTTTGCTTTTTGGTGAGGCAATCAGGATAAGTGACCTGCCCAGGGTCACACAGCTAGTAAGTGCCAAGTGTCTAAAGCTGGATTTGAACTTAGTTCCTCCTGACTTCAAGGCTGGAGCTCTATCCACTGCGCCACCTAGCTGCCCCATTCGTATTTACTCCTGATGATTTCGTGGGCATTTTAGTCCTTTTTGCCTTTGAACTTTTAAGTATTCCTTTTATATGATAACTTATGTGCTTCACTTTACACAGAGGGCATGTGCTTAAAATTGTATATACATTGATTTTTCAAATAAAAATATTTTAAGTGCAAAATAAAAAAGAAGAAAGAAAAAAAGAAAGGGGGTTGCCAGAAGAACATCGTACACAGTAACAGCAACCTTGTGCGACGACTAGCTGTGATAGACTTAGCTCTTCTCAGCAATGCAAGGATCTAAGACAACTCCAAAAGACTCATGATGGAAAATGCTCTCCACATCCAGAGAAAGAACTTTGGAGTTTGAATGCAGATCAAAGCACACTATTTGCTCTCCTTTTCTTTTGTTGTTTTGTTTTATTTCTGCTTTCTTGTGGTTCCTCCTATTAGTTCTCATTCTTCTTTACATGACTAATGTGAAAACATGTTAATAGGAATGTACATGTAGAGCCTATATCAGATTGCACACAGTCTTGGAGAGGGAGGTGGGGAGGGAAGAAAATTTAAAACTCAAAAGCTTATGGAAGTGATTGTTGAAAACTAAAAATAAACATATTAATTAAAAAGAAAGAAAGAAAGAAAGGGGGTTGAAGTGGGCCCTCTGAAAGCTTCATGGGAGTGGGAACTGAGTTGGGCCCTGAAGGTCAAATAGGTGTTTGAGAGGCTAAGGGGATAGGGAAGAGTGTGAGAAAGAATACGGAGGCAGGAAAGCAGGAATCTTCTGGGCAGTGCAGACACAGATTAGTGTTGGTGGAGCACAGGAGTCATGTTGGAGGAGACTGGAACATTAGGCTGTTGGCTGGGACTGGTTTGGTGTAGAGGGCCATGAATGAGAGGCTTGGGACTTTAGCTGGAAGCCAGTAGAGAACCATTTGTGACTTTGGAATAAGAGAATGGCATGACAAAAGCTATGTTTCAGAGAGATTAATCTGGGAGCTATGAAAGGGTGGGCAGAGCCTGGGAGAACCCTTAGGAGTTTCTTATAATGGAAACACAAACTACTAAACCCCACCCCCATCCTCTAAAATTTCCAGAGTAGGACACTAAGGCTTGGAGAGGTCAGAATGACTCATCCAAATTAGTAACAACATTTGGCCTTTATCAAATACCTACTATGTGCCTGACACTGTGCAAAGTGCCTTGAACATATTATCTCACTTGATTCTCACACAAACCCTGAGAGTTTGGTGCTATTGTTATCCCCATTTTGCACATAAGGAAACTGAGGCAGACAGAGGTGAAGGGACTTGCCCAGGGTCTTGAGGAAGGATTTTAACTCAGGTCTCCCTGACTCCAGGTCCAGCACCTAATAGCAAGAAACCAGGCTCTCTGACTCACGGTTCCTCTATATTCTAATATCCTGATAGTCAAGGCATTCCTGAGAGCAGCCAGCTAAGCAATACCCTTCTTTGTCAGAATTCTAGCCTAGGAGACAGGGGCTCCTTAAACAGGGTTTCTTTCTGTGCCTTGTACATAGTAGGCATTTAATAAATGCTAGGCGATTTAGAAGTAACACTATCTCAGGATGGAGTCTCAGGCCTCTGATAAAGTTAGATCCTGAAGTCCTGGGCATCTGGGGACAATTTCTGACATTTGAAAAAAGGCAAACCATAGAAAGCAAGGACGATGAATCTAAATAACCTCCTACTTACTTTTCAATGATGTAGGTATAATTGTTCTCCAGTTCCACGGGTTTCAGGAACTTTTTCACACATGCATTTAGATCCCTGTGGAGATTGAAGTGTCAGAATCACACCATTTCAGAGTTGGAAGAGGTCTCGAAGGTGATTAATTTAACCTTTGTATATAGAGAGATCCCTTCTAAAACAATCTAAACGAGAGCTTATCCAGCCTTGGCTGGAGGACCTCTGCTGCTGAGGAGCTCACTACCTACCCAAACTGGAAGCTGTACTTTGGGATAGCTCAGATGGCAGGAATTTTGCAGTTTCTCCCCACAATTCCCTCTGGGGCTGATCCATCTTCCTTCCACACAGCCACCTTTCAAATGCTTGAAGATACAACGATCATGTGCCCTTTGAATTTCCTCCCCAAGCTGAGCATCCTTAGTCTCTTTAACTGGTCTTTGGATGGCATGATTTCTATTCCCCTCACAATTCTGGCCATCCTCTGGAGGCTTCAGTTTGTTGATGACCTTCCTAAAATGTATAAGAGCTTCTTACCACGTAGATATAATAAAGGTAGAAATTTGGAACAAAAGATTGAGGTCTCAAGAGATGCCTTCCTGTGTGGCTCTGCTGCTGCTTGCTGCTGTTGGGTCGTTTCAATTGTGTCTGACTCCTCATGACCCTATTTGGATTTTTTTTTGGGCAAAGATACTGGAGTGGTTTGCCATTCCCTTCTCCAGCTCATTTCATAGATGAGGAAACTGAGCCAAGCAGGGTTAAGTGACTTGCCCAGGGTCACACAGCTAGTAATTGTCTGAGGCCAGATTTGAACTCAGAAAGAGGAGTTTTCCTGACTCCAAGTGTGGTGCTTCATCCACTGCAGAGCCACCTCGCTGCCTGCACAGCTCTACCCACCCTCTTTTGTTCTTTGCTTTCTTCTTTCCCTTTCACGGAAGAGCCAAAGGATCTTGACATGGAGAGAGTGATTAAAAAAAGAGTCACAAATCCTGAAACCCAGATAGTCATTGACAGTTTGTGGAAGACAAGATAAATGAAAATTGAATGTTGTGCAAGGTCACTCAGGTAGGAAGCATATCTCAGTGAGGTCCCTGACTCCAAAGCCAAGGATCTTTCTACTGTTTCTCTCACCATGATTCTTTAAAACTTTATTCAAAGAATACACAGAATTCAAGAAGAATGAATCTGAGGCAGGAAAAAAAGTACAAAAAGCATTGTGGACAGGGTGCTGGACTTGGAGTCAGGAAGACGAGTTCAAATCGTGCCTCAGACACTTATTAGTTGGGTGAGCCCCTGCAAGTCACTTAATCTCTGGGCATCAGTTTCCTCAGTTGTAAAATGAGGAGATTGGACCAGATGGCCCTCCCAGTTCTAAATATATATTTCCATGATCCTGAAAACTTCTTCTGGCTGCTGCATATGGTTGTGGACCTAAACTCCCAAAAAGAGCTGAAATAACTCAAAGTTAATGACTAAAAGTTCAGTCTTCCCCTAAAGATAACCTGTGGAGAAACTTCCCCATAGCGGCTGCAGTCCCATAGAGGACCAATAGATGACGGCAAAGAGCTATAGAAGACCTAAAGAACCTAGCCCAGTAGAGAGAGAGCTAAGGATGAGCCTTCTGAAAGGCTTGCTGAGCAGAAAGGTCACCAGAGCTGGAGGAGGTCGCCAGACAATTCATCAGTAGACACTCTGTGATACCAATGACCGTGGAGCTAGCTGCAAGCCGCAACGTGGGAGGCAGAGAGGTGGTTCCCCAGGGACACTGCCCTGGCATTTCTTCTCTGGATGGGGCTAATACATCAGAGGAATGCTGTTGATACGGTTCACCTAAATTTTAGTAACGTATATGAAAAGATCTCACGCCAATAGTGTGATAAGGCAACCAAAAACCAAATGTGATCGTGGGCTGTGTTGAGAAGCAAGGCCACCAGGACATGGAGGTGATGTGATGAAGCCACCCTTGCTGGAGTACTGTGCTCAAATCCAGGTGAGAAACACTGAGAAGCTGGAGAGAAATGGACAGTGGCCAGAGGAAGGCAAGGGTGGGTGTGAAAGGACTTGACATCCTGACCCAAACTGGAGGTGAAGGAACTCAGGATGTTTAGCCCAAAGAAAAGAAGATTTAGGAGGGATGGGCACTGAGCTCAACTGACGTGTATTGAGCTTGCAATGAACTAAACCCCCCCCCCCTTTTAAGACAAACTGATAACAACAACAGTAATACATTTACATAGCAATTTTAAGGTTTGCAATACACTCCACAAATATAATCTCATTTTATCCTCACAACTATCCGGGAACAGAGATGCTAATGTGAAAGCTGCCTTCAAGTATCTGAAGCTCTTGTTACAGGAGAAAGGAATTAGATTCATCCTGTTTGACTGATGGGTGAAAAGAGCAAAGAAGTAAATTTAGGGCTGAGATCAGACACCGTTTTCTCAGGGTGAGACTATCCCAAACTAGAAGGAGTTTCTTTGGAAGAGGATAATCAACTTTCAACAAGTAACAATCAGCCTTCCTGGGGGTCTTCCAGCAAAGGTTGGAGGATCTTTGGAAATGTTTTAGGGGGGACTTTTGTTCTGATCTGATTCAATCAATTAACAAGCATTTCTTAAGCATCTGGTAGGCACTGGGTTAGCTTCAAGGGATACAGAGCCAAAAATGCCTCTGCAATTCCTTTCAATGATTAGATTCTACTACTCTGTGATCAATTAGTTAATGAAGGAATAATCAGATAATAACAGTAAATACAAACCTACCTTCGGACTATTATCTTTTTTTTCCAGTTACAACCAATGGAAATGAGGCCTGACTATAGATGAAGAAAGATAAAGTTACTAACACACCCCTGGAAGGAACTATCCCCAGCTGCCCCTTTTGGACAATGGCAAAGATCAAAGGCTACCCACCCCATTCTGTCTTTCCTTGCCTAAAGCAATGGTTCTGAAATGGTTCCACTGAGCTTATAGGGTTCTGAAAGGTAGTTCTGTACGTTCCCTGACAAAAAGGGTCACCATGGTTTTAGATGATGATTACTCATCAGGCCCCACTCTATTATTATATTATTGTAATATTGATAATTATTGTTATACTTGGAGACAGGGTAATACAGGTAGATAGAAAGCCAGCCTTGGAACCGGGAAGAATTGATTCCAGGTCCCACTTCAGATACAAATTTGCTTTGGGACTATGGCCAGGGAATTCAGCTTTAAGATTTTTAAGTTGAATCTGGGCCGAGGTTATGTCTACACTGATGAAATCCTTGGTCCCTAATCATAGTAAATGATCATGGGGCTGATGATAATAAAAATGATAAAGATGAATACTTCCTCACCAAAAAAGAGGAAGAGGACTGATATTCTCAGAAGACATGATATACAGGTACAAAACTTATGGAAATATTTTTGGAACCAGACCTCACTTCACAAAACAACTGTAAAACCTTCATAAAACAACAGGTAGAGGCCTCCCAATTTGTCAAACATATTTGAAAGTAGTCTATCCTATGATTCCAGAGGACCCACAATAAAACATACTACCCACTTGCCGAGACAGAGAGGTGATGAACCTGACCAGAGTTCAGATTGAGAGTTTTTTTTTTAACATGGTCAATATTAGAATTAGTTTTGCTTGACTATTCATATTTGTTACAAGGATTGATCTCTCTCTCTCTCTCTCTCTCTCTCTCTCTCTCTCTCTCTCTCTCCAGCAACAGATGGACTAGCCATGATCAATATGAGTAGAGGATGCTAGACAGATATCTCTGACTGCCCAACCTCAGCAAAGCCCTGCTTTCTACTACTGGAACTTTGCTGATTCATTGGTTTTCTTTTTTTTTTTCTTTTTGGTAGTAATCAGGGTTAAGTGACTTGCCCAGGTTCACACAGCTAGTAAGTGTCTGAAGCCAGATTTGAACTCAGGTCCTCCTGACTCCAGGGCTGGTGCTGTATCTACTGTGCCATACAGCTGCCCCAATTCATTGGTTTTCCAAAGGAAAATGTGCATTTTAATCCTTAATGCAAATGAGGGAAGCAGAAGGAAGGCAATGAATGTTTCATACATACCGGAGGTTGTAAGTCAATACAGGACATTCCTCTCTCAATTAAATCCAGAGTGATGGTGGATAAACTGGGAATCTTTACGCTACAATGGAAAAGAGAGCTTTAGCTTCCGAAGTGAATGAAACCAGAGACTGTGCTTCATTGCCTTTGCCGTACCACGTTTTAGAAAGGACACTGATAAACTAGAACATTCCAAAGGGCGTGTGTGTGTGTGTGTGTGTGTGTGTTGGGGGAGGGGGACTAGGATGGTAAGGGAAATCATACTGTGTATTGTCTATGACAATTTAGCATCCGAGAGCACCCTTGTGTTTTCTAGCCCAGAGAAGAGAGGTGACTTGTCCAGAGTCACACAGCTCATTAAAGGAAGGAACTAGATTAGGCCCCAGATTTTTTATCTTCTGTAACACCATGTAAAAGGGGATCATAGAAACATGGTCCCTTTCCCCCAAGACAGTTTTAGCCTCTGTAAGTTTTATGCCCCCTCAAATACAGAGGCACAGCCCAACTTCTCTTCTTATCTCCCCCCCCCCTTTCTCATTTATTTTGAAAAGAAAGAAACCACAAGACCACTTGTTGGAGCTGATGGAATGGAGGTTACTGCTTGGCTATTGGTTAGTTGGCAGCATTTCTGGAGTCCTATTTTGCTTTCCTGAGCTCCGACTTTGTGTAAATTATTCTCACAAAATCATAGCATCTTGGAGGTGAAGAGATACCCTGTGTTTTAGCCAAACAGACCTGTTTGCTCTTCCCCAAGCAACATACCATCTTCTGTCTTGACTTTTGCACAGGCTGTCCCCTCTCATCCCCACCCCACCATGCTTTGAGGTTAGGAAAGTTGGTCTTGGCAAAAATTTAGAAGCAGTTCAAATAAATTCACCAGGCATTTAGCACAGTACATCCCATTTCAAGGCTTATGTCAAGTATCTCTTCTTCCAGGAAGCCTTTTCTGAATATCCTCTTAGTACTCTCTCTTTAAGTTACTTTACATTTATTTATAAGATCAGAAGATTATACATTTGGAGTTGGAAGAGACATAAGAGGTTTTTTAGTCCACTCATCCTATTTTTCAGATGAGGAAACTGAGTCAAATACCATTCTTGGTCACAATCTTCCTAGGTGCTCATTTCCTAAATATGCCTTTCATTTCTGAACCTGTTGCTTTTCAAAGGAAGTAGTGCTGAAAACATTACCTAAGCCCCAAGGCCTTCATTTTTCTGTGTCAGACTGGCATCTTTGGCCATGTTTCCTCAGTTCGGTACCCACCAGGATCACCAGAAGTGGGGTAGGTGAGTGGGAGGGGTTAGTCATCCTGCCTGACAAGTCTTGGAATGTTTTCTGTCCTGTCTTGGATACATTCTCAGGGAAGTCAACTGGACCACCTGCTGCCTCAGTCCCTTCAGCAGGAGGTCACCAAACGCTGCCTCTCACCTCCTCTTCTCCTGGATGCTCTCTTGACTGGCCGCAGCTCTGGATCTGTATTATCATCCCTTAGAGCCCAAACAACTGTTCCATCCTGGAGTTTGTTTCTCTCCTCTTCCGGAAGAGCTCATTTTTGTTTCCTGGCTCTAATTGTTCAGCCTTCCCTTGCCCCTCAGTGTGACATTTTCATCCTGTCCACCTTGCTGATACAAGTCAGGATTCCTCTCTGCCTGAGATTCACATAAAAGCTCCCTTTCCATTTTTTTTTTTTAAAGGAACACATCTTTCCCGATTGTCCGGAAAACGGAAACACGTTCCTCCAGTCCCTCTACTCTAAAAGATTATGGCTATAAAGCTAGGAGAGACCTCAGAGGTCATCTGGTCCAACTCTTTCATTTCACAGAAGGGTAATCGGAGCGTCACCATCACCTTGATCAGATCTCCCTAATCTGCCAACTGCGTGTACATCAGTACCCTGGATTCATCGCAGCTGTATGAAGTCTCACAACCTCATGGTGGTCAACAAATCAACAAACATTTATTGAGCACTACTATGTGCCAGGCACTGTGTGAAGCACTGGGAATGCAAATACAAGCAAAAAAGAATGCCATTCCTTGGCCTCAAGGAACTTACATTCTAATGGAGGAAGACAACACGTATGAGGAAGCTGAAAAGTGGGAAGCGTGTTGACAGAAGAAGAGAGAGAAGGTAGTGAGTAGAGAATGACATTCCAGAGAGTAATGAAGGAGAGAACATAACTGGCCAGGACACTTTCCTTTTAAGTTGGAGCTTCTGGGAGAAGCTGACCAACCAGAGGAAGGGGCCTCAGGGGCAGAGTGAAATGGGCACAGAGGTGGAACGACAGTTCAGTCTGAGAAGGCTTCTGGGGATGGTGGAGGCAGAAGTCCAGTAAGCAAGAAGAGAAACCCAGAAAAGAAAAAAGGAGTGAATATGACCAGTATGAGCGCTGTCCTTAAAAATGGAGGAACTGACCGGAGGAAGGGGCCTCAGGGGCAGAGTGATCTTCCAGGGAGAGAAGGCCATAAAAGGGGAGAAAAGAATTCAGAGAGTAAAGAGTGGAGCCCAGAGAGGAACAAAGGAATCATTCCTGGTCTCTCTTGCCCGCCCTGCCAACGTAAGTGCTGAGCATCTCCATAAGGGTGCATGATCCGTAGGAGAGGCTGCAGGGGAACATGTGGTGTCTCCTCCTTGGAACACGTGGGCCCAAAGAGGGGCTTCCAGTCTAAGAAGCAGCAGGAATATCTGGGAGGGGCACTGGCTCAAAGATCTTGGCAAGTCAAAGACTTCCATGAGTCTCAATTTCTTCACTGAGTATTTTAGGAGAAGGGATGTGCAAGTTTTACTGTGCTTGGCCGTGGTTTCACTCTACCTGTTCTGCTGTGTCTAGTTCTAGGCATTCCCTTTTAAAGCCACAGAGCAACGGGGATAGTGAATGGCCTTGGTCCTGCAGTTCCTCCAACACAGCACACCTCATGCCATCTCCATGTCTCTGCACAGGCTATCCCTCATGGTGGAAATGTTCTAGCCGCTCACCTCCAGTTCTAGACATCCATGGTTTTCTTGAAGGCTCAGCTCAAGTTCTGCCTTTGGCAGGCATCCTTTCCCAGTCCCCCAACTGCTAGAGCCTTGCTCTCTCAGGCTGCTTTCACATTCTCTGGAAATATGTTTCAGGTATCTAGATATTTACATGTTTCATCCTTGCTAGAATATATGGGCCTGAAGGGCAAGCACTGGGTTTCTCTCCCCTCCCCCACTTATTTGTATTTCCACTGCTTAGCACATAGTAAAAACTTTTAATAAATGTCTGCAGACTGACTGACTGGATTTAAGGAGTCAAGTTGAACGAACTGGAAATGTTTATCCTGGAGAGAATTTGAACATGTGGGCTGAATGACAGTGAAGAGTTAAGGATGACACCAAGTTTCTAGGCCTGGGTGGCTGGAACCCAGGTGGCACCCTATAATAGGGAAGCATCTATAAGGAATAGCTGAACACGTTATAGAATACTTATGTGGTGGAAGGCTATTGTGCTTTAAGAAATAGGAAGGGGAGGGTTTCAGAGAAACACAGGAAGACTTGTATGAACTGATGAGGCAAAGTGAAGTGAACAGAGTGAAGGAGAACAATTAATACAGTAGCAATGCTGTAAAGATGAACAACTTTGAACAAGATTGTCAGTTCCTCTTACTCATCTCCCCACCTTTTTGTGAACTAGGTTAATCCTCCCTTGGGGGTAACACTGTCTTCAGCCATTCCCTTGGTTCCTCCCCTCTGCAAGGGACAACAATATCATAAAGACAGATAGGTGATGGACGCAGAGGGCAAAATGAGGCATATGTATATGTGTATCGGACATGGTTAATAGGGGAATTTGTTTTACTTGGCTATTCATATTAGTAATGGGTTTTATTTTTCTTCCTTTCTCAATGGGTGGATGAAGGGAAGGTGCGAAGAACAGAATTCAGAACTGAAAATAAAATTGAATTAAAAAACAAAAATAGGAATAGGGAAGTTTAAAAGGGGAGGGAGTTTGGGGAAAAGTCTTGGCATAGGCTGTTCATGATGCATGTGTAATGACACATCCCTGTCTTCAGGTATGTGTAGGGCTGCCCTCTAAAAAACAGGATGAGGGGCAGCTAGGTGGAGCAGTGCATAGAGCTCTGGCCTTGGAGTCAGAAGGACCTGAGTTCAAATCTGGCCTCAGACACTTGACACTTACTAGCTGTGTGACCCAGGGGCAAATCACTTAACCTCAGTTGCCTAACCAAAAAAAAAAAAAAAAGATGAGGTTTGTTTTGCTTGACTCCAAAGGAGCAATGGGTAGAAATTTCTGAGAAGCAAATTTTGGCTTAATGTTGCTCCCCATGGTGGGAAGGGGTGCCTCCGGAGGGAGTAGATTTCTCCTCCTTAGAGTGGGATGCTGTGCTGGGGAGCAGGGTTGTCAGTCCCTCTTACTCAAAAGTGAACAAGCCTCATTCATGGACCTATTTCCCAGTTTGCTGTGGGGATTCTGAAAGGAATCCATCATTGATTCCAGTAATGTAATGGTCCATAATAAGAGGTCAGTCCCTAGGGACAGAGTCTATAATTATATGTGGCTATGTAAGTCATAAACGACAGTGTGACATTTGTCTTGTTCCAGATAACTGTCAGAAGAGGAACTCAAGTCTTCACTCACAACCATTTTGGGGGTAGCTTAGTTAAGGGGCTAGAGCTCTCCTTGGTGTCAGAAACCTAGGTCCAAGCCCCTCCTCTGTCAAACACTGGTCGCGTGACCGTGGGCAGACACTGAGCCTTTCAGTGCTTCAGGTAGCTCTCTTAGACTCTAAGTTGCCAAGCAGGGGCTACTCTGGTCAAGTGAGTTTCCTCCTTCACTGCTCCCTTCACCAAAGGCATCACAAGCCTGATCCCAAATCTACAAATACAAAAGGACTAAAGGAAAGGCATACTTGGAAATGAAGCTCTCGTGAGCCCTGCCTGAGGTATGCTGCTGCATCAGGGTGATGTTCTGTGAAAGAGAGACAAAGAGAGAAAAAGAGAGAGAACTCTGATCAGAAAGTGTTACAGACCCTTTATATATTGTACAGTATAGAGTCACAGACAAACAACAAATCACTAAACATTTACTAAGTGCCCACTATGTGCGGAGTCTGAAATGACTGAAAATGACTGAACAACAAATGTGCCAGGCACCGTGCTAAGCACTGGGGATACAAAAAGAGACGAGAGCTAGTCCCTGCTCTCGAGGAGTTTACAAACTAATGGGGGAGACAACATGCAAACTAACATACACAAAGCAAGCTACATACAGGATAAATAGGCAGCAATTAATTAATAGAAGGCAAGCACTGGGATTTAAGAGGGGTTGGGGGAATCTTCCTGTAGAAGGTGGGACTTTAGTTGTGATTTAAAGGAAGCCAGGGAGGACAGCAGAGGAGAGAGATCATTCCTGGGATGGGATCCGGCCAGATAAAATGTCAAGAGAGGGAGTATATTGTTTGTGGAACAGCCAGGAGGCCGGTGTCACTGGATCAAAGAATATGTATATGTATGTGGTGGAGAAAGGTATAAGAGGACTAAAAAGGTATTAGGAGTCTGTGACTGTCCAACAGAGCATTTTGTATTTGACCCTGGAGGCAACAGGGAGTCACTGGAGTTTACTGAGTGCGGCAGGGGTGACATGATTGGCCCTGCATTTTAGGAAAACTACTTCAGCAGCTGAATGAGGATGGAGAGGCTTGAGGCAGGCATACCCACTGTTGCAATAGTCCAGGTGTGAGGTGTTGAGAGCCTGCACTTGAGAGCTGACACTGTCAGAGGGGAGAAGGGGAACATATGAAAGATGTTGTGAAGGTAAAAATTGACAGGCCTTGGCACCACCTTGGATATGGGGGTTGGGATGGTGAAAGATAGTGGAGAATCCAGGATGGTTCCTAAATTGATGGCCCGGGAGGATGGTAGGAGTGAGGAAGGGGTAAGAGGAAAGATAATGAGTTCTGTTTTGGACATACAGAGTTTAAGATGTTTACAGGACAGAGTTATATAGTACGTAGTTACAGACATAGAGTTACATAGTGTATACTATAGAGTTACAGGCATGGAGTTATCTAGTATATAGTACAGGGTTACATACACTTCATATAAAATGTTACATGCCCATAAGCTGGCCATTGACAGGTTCAGCTAAGACCTCTCTGTCGAGGTGCTCCGATAAGAACTCTCATCAGAGTCAAGTCAACAATTTAAAATCATTTCTTAAATGTCAATGTCCACTGTGCTATGAGAGAGGTTGTGGGGATACATACATTCTGCTGGAGGGAGTGCCACAAACACCTACATGAGTCAATACATCCTCATATACAATGTTGTCAAGAGGGACAGAACTCTAACAATTGGGAATGGTCAGGGAAGGCTTCATGCAGGAAGTGTAATACGTGGTGTGAAGAAAGTTAGGAATTACAAGAGACAAAACTGGGGATGCTCTATCTTACAGGGCAGGAGGGCACAGGGCACAGCCTATGCAAAGGCACAGAGATGGGAGATTGAATGATGTGTATGGAAAGGAACTAGTAGGCCAGGTTAACTACAACAGAGATAGTATTTTAGGGAGTAACAGGAAACAAGACTGGAAAGGTTGGTAGTAGACATATTGCAGGTTGAAGATTTTGCATTGAGGTTTGCTGTGAGTTTAGAACGAGACATTTGTAAAGCACTGTGCAAACCTTCGAGCAGTATACAAGAGTGAGCTGTTGTTACTGCAGTCTACTCCGATGTCCTGCCTTCTCATAGGCAGCCCCGGTGGCTGAGCAGATGCCTTGGAAGGACCTCCCCGACTGTGCTGCTGATAGACCTATTGTTTAGGGACGCAGCTGGCTAAATGCAGAACAGTTGGCTTTCTGGGGGAATGGACTTTTAGCCATATAGAACAATATGCAAAGAGTACCTCCCAAACACATGAAGGGGCCCTAATGGGTGTTAGTGAAAGGAGTGCCTGTTGATAAAAATTCTGAATCCCAGAGGGAAAATTCCATTAAACCCAACCTTTATATGAGTGACTACTAATTATTTGTTGTTGTTGCTGTGGTTCAGTCTTTTTTCAGTTGTGTCTAACTCTCCACAACCCCATTTGGGGTGTTCTTGGCAGAGATACTGGACTATCTCAGCTCATTTTTCAGATGAGGAAACTGAAACAAATAGAGTTAAGTGACTTGCCCAGGGTCACCCAGATAGTAAGTGTCTGAGGCCAGATTTGAACTCAGGGTCTTCCTAATTCTAGGCCCAGCACTCCACCAACTGTGCCACCTAGTTGCCCATTTTCTAATTATAGCTGGGTTTATAATACCATTATGGGAAGTCAGCTTACTATTGTAAATTTTGTGTTTCCTTCAAAGGTGTAGCCATCTTCATACATTTTTACTTGGAATCCAAGAGAATGAGGGTTACTGACGGTTACCTTTGGAAAAAGAACAGAAAACAAAAAACAACATACTGTGTAAAACAAATGGACATAAAGAACATCACTTAGGTAAGAAGGATCTTCCTTCATCAGAGTGTATGTCGGTTCATAACTCTCTTCTCTGATCTCTCTTATTTACCTACTAGGGCCTGTCAGGTCCCTAAGGCTATTAATGCATCCCATTGGAGACGAATTACAAAAGCCCCAAGGACTTCTCCACCCCTGGGACCTCTGAGGGTTTTTCTATGTTTTCCTGATAACTCTACAGCTCCACAAGATGAAGCACTGGTAGTGATCCAGTGTGACCTTCCTGCCAGGTTGGCAGTGAGTCAGGTCTGGCCAGCAGGTATTGGGAATGGCTGTGCAGGAGCAAGGTCTGAGCTGAGGCCTGGTGAAGGGGCATGGGGGCTGAGGCTGGCTATAGGTTGAAGGCAGGCAGTGCTTCTGTCAAAACAGGCCCGTGGAGAAATGGAGATGGGATAGGGGAAGTTTAAGGGGAATGGTTGAAGAACAAGAGGTTAGGAGCTTTTCTGATACAAGAAATAAAGACAAGATGGAATCCAGCAGGGCATTTTATGTTTGTTATCTTTTGGGGAAGTAAAATAAGGCTTCCTAGTGTGCTGAAGCCTGCCCAGAACCAACCTGTCTGGTCCAGTTCTAGGCCTGATCACCTGGGGGCAACAGGAAATAGTGCATGCCCCTAACCGGGCAGTAACTTCTTCAAGGGATGAAGAAACTAATTTAGTGGTTTGGAGTTCTAGGCCTGGTAATCCTTCAGTAAGAATGCCAGGGAACTCCAGGGCTGCTAGAGAGAGGCAACACAGAAATCCATTTGAGGGTGCTGGGCTAAGAAAGGGAGGTGCTGGTGTTAGAAACATTCATTCTACAAAAAAGACAATATACTTACTATTGGGATTGGTAATTGAGATGGCTGAGGCACCAGCTGAGCAGATAATTCCAAAGTTTCACCCATATCTAGGACATGCATTTTTTTATCAAAATCTCCATGCAAAATTTCTGCCTATTTAGAAATGTAATCATAACACCGAAAAGGAGAGATTTGGTAAGTAAAAAAGAAAAATGAATGAAATCCTTTTCATCTTCCAAAGCTTAGTTCACATGCCACCTGCCCCCACCCATGAAGTTTGCACATGAGCCTTTAGGTGAAAAGGTGGTTTTCCCACCCCAAATGGGATCCACTTTATCTGGATCTATCTCTTTTACTCCCTTACCATATTCCCCCTACTATGTAATAATAATAGCTAATAATTATAGGTACCATTTCAATAGCTCTTTGAAGATTGTAAAATGCTTCCATGTTATTCATGGAATTTCATTTGATTCTCACCTGGGGGGTGGGGAGAGCTGATGCTATTATTCTCATTTTGCAGATGAGCAAAGTGAGACTAAAGACTAAAAAGGTAAAACAAATTGAACCAGTGTCACACAGTCAGCAAGTATCTGAGGCAGGATTTGAATGCAGGTATTCCTGATTCCAAGTCTCATATTCTATCTGCTGCAGCACTTAGCTGCCATATTATATTTATTAATGCATGTCCGAGCCTTCTTACTAGGTTGTGAGCTCCTTGAAGCCTGGGACAATGACCTATTTCATCTTTGAATTCTTGAGTATAATTAGTGATAACTTCAATGTTTGTTGAATTTAAAAAAAAAATCAAAGTATTCAGCTCCACTTCTCCATCTCTGGACTTTTCTACCTTCTCCCTTCTTTCCTCTCAACCTGGACATGCCACCACACTATGGCACTCTCTTCTGACTGGTGAACCCTGGCTTGTACCACCATTTCATGAGACTCTCAGTTCATCTTAGCTCTACTACTCACTGTCTGGAATTTTCTACCTGTACCCCAGAAGTCTAGTCCTACCCTCCTCCATTGTTCCCCCTCCCTTTACTGTTTCCTTTGATGTGTTGACTTCATCCATTAGAATAGAAACTCCTTGAAAGCAGAAACTCCTTTTTTGTTTTTGTATCTGTGTCCCCAGTGTAAGGGCCTAAGAAGTGCTTTCTTTATCCATCTATCTTAAGATGAAAGATCACATAGGCAAGCAAGAAGAGAGGATCTCTTCCTTCCTCTCATGACCATACAATTTCTCCAACTGGAAGGATCTGGGCTTTAGGAAAGAGCCCAACACATAGCAGTTCTCTGGATTCCACTGGTTCCTAAGAGTAAAAACTCTTAGCACAAGATGTGACTATACAAAACAGAGATAGTCATTTCAGGATGTGGAACTGGCCACCAAATTGAGACCATTTGCTGTGACCTTTCTCCTTTGCCATTCTCTACATCTCTCAAAGCCCTTTGACATCGTTCTTCAATTTCTCTCCTTGACTCTAGTTTCTGATGAAGAGGAGACCCTACTTGCTAAGGCCAACCCCTTTACATGTACTTTGATCTACTCTGTGACATCTTTTCTGGAAGATTGCCCTTTCAATCCTTGCTCATTTTTCTTTAATCTTGTGTTTATTCCCCCTGTATGTTCTTGGGCTTACAAATTGGCTCAAGTGTCCCTCATTTAAAAGAAAAAAAAAGCCGTACCATACTCTACTACTACTTGCCCTTCCCCCCCACCCCCAAGCTATCATCCTGCATCTTTCCTCCCTTTCACAATCAACACTCAGGCGAAAAAAAAAAAAAACCAAACCAAACCTGTTTATTCTCTTTTGTATTTCCTTTCATCTCACTTTTCAGCTCTGGGTAATCTGGCTTCTGACCTTACCTTTCTAGGAAAGCCTGTTCTCTCTATAAGCCTAGTTCGGGCCTTCCTCATCTCTTGCCTGGGCTATTGCATAGCCTCCTAATGTTTCACCTCACTCCAATCCCTCCTCTACTTGTCTGCCAAAGTGATTTTTGTAAAGTACAGGTTTACAATATAAAGCACAATGAGTTCCAGTGGCTCCCTATAACTTCCAGGATCAGATAGAAATTCTTCTGTTTAGCATCTAAAGCCCTTCATAGCATGGCCCCTTACTACAGTTCTAATTTTCTTACATTTCGTTTACCGCTGTGCACTCTATTATTCAACACACTGGCCTACTTGCATTTTCTCGAACAAACACTCCACTGCCATCTCCATGTCTTTGAACTGGTTGTCCTCATGCCTAGTGTGCCCTGCCCCTCTCACTTCTACCTCTTGGTTTCTCTGGCTTTTTTCAAGACTCAGCTCAAAGCTTACCTCCTGTAGCAGGCCCTTCTAGGTCCCCTCTCTTCCCACCGCTTGTTGGTAATTTCTCCCCTTTCATACTACCACCTACCTATTCTCTGTACATATCTTGTATGTACCTAGCTATTGACATATTTTTCTCTCCAATCAGAATGTCTTGAAGACACTGTTTTTACCTTTCTATGTATCCTTCATACTTATCAGAGTATGAGGACATGATATGAACTTCATAAATAAATGCTTATTGACTGCCTGACTAATCACCAAATCTTATGGTTGTTTCTCAGTTGTCATCCTTCCTTCCTTCTCCTCCAGGGTTTTCATGACACTCTTCTCTACTGGTTCTTCTGCCTGTCTGACTGATCCTTCTCAGTTTCCTTTGCTGCATCATCATGCATTTTCCACCTTCTAAATGTTGATTGACCCTGTCTGTTCTGAGCACTCTTCTATTCTTTCTTTACATTCTCTCGGTGACCTCATCAGCTCTCAAGGATGTAATAATTATTTCTACATAGACTACTTTCAGATCTATATATCTGGCCCTAGTCTCAAGGTCAGGGCCCTATCATCAAATGCTTATTGGATTTTTCAAACTAGATGCCCCATAGGCATCTCAAACTCAACATTCCCAAAAGAAAACTCATCATCTTTTGCTCTAAAACCCACCACTCTTAACTTCTCTATTTCTGTTGAGGGTATCAATCAAATAATTAGTAAACATTTATTAAGTGCCTACTATGTGCCAGGCACTGTGCTAAGTGCTGGGGATACAAAAAGAGGCAAAAGACAGTTCCTGCCCTCAAGGAGCTCACAATCTAATGGGGAGACAATACGAAAACAAACATGCATAAAGCAAACTATATACAGGATAAACAGGATGTAATTAACAGAGAGAAGGCATTGGAATTAAGAGGAGTTAGAGGAAGCTTCCTGTAGAAGGTGGGGTTTTATTTGGGACTTACAGGATGCCAAGAAAGCCAGTAGTCAGAGTAGAGTAGGGAGAGTATTGCCGTCATGGGGGACAGTCAGAGAGAATGATTCGAGTTGAGAAGTGTCATGGAGTGTCATTTTTTGGGGGCAGGCTAGGCAATGAGGTTAAGTGACTTACCCAGAGTCACACAGCTACCAAGTGTTATGTGTCTGAGGCCGCATTTGAACTCAGGTCCTTCTGAATCCAGGGCTGGTGCTCTATTCAGTGAGCCGCCTACCTGCCCCCAAGTGTCATGTTTGTGGAACAGCCAGGAGCTAGTGTCAATGGATCGGAGTACGAGTTTGGGGAGTAAGGTAGGAGGAGCCTTGGTTACAAAGGGCTTTGAATGCCAAACAGAGTCATTTTATATTTAGTCCTGGAGGCAACAGGGAAGTACTGGAGTTTATTGAGTAAGGAACTGATGGTGCTCAGACCTGTGCTTTAAGACAATCACTTTAGTGTTTGAATGGAGGATGGATTGGCACCAGAGGGAGACTTGGGGCAGGCAGAACCATCAGCAGCTATTGCAATATAATCCAGGCCTGCTCTTGAGGGAGGCAGTATCAGAGGAGCAAAGGGAGCCTATATGAGACATGTTGCAAAGGTGATATTGACAGGATTTAGCAACATACTGGAAATTGGGCAGGGGGTGGGGGGTGGGGAGGTGAGAGGGACTGTGAAGTCTAGTCTGTGAGCCTGAGGGGCAGGGAGAGTGGTGGTACTGCACTGTAACAGGGAAGGTGTGGGGGTGGGAAGGTTTTAGAGGTAAAGATAATGAGTTCCTGAATTGCATTCCCAGTTCTTTGAGACCACAATGGCAGCTTCAATACTATTTTAATAAGGCACTGAGGGTGCAGGGGCAAACAGTGCAAAAGGGAGGTGGGGCACAGAGGCAGACTGTCTCGTGGGGACAGAAATGGGGACAGGGAGAGACAGAAACTCCTGTAACCATGGATTAGAGTTGGGAGCAATGGGCAGCACGGACCCATACGAAGATAGAAGAGAGCTCAGGTGAAAGGGGTTTGGGTAGAGGATAGACTAACTCTCATCTGTGCCACCTGGAGGTTAGTTCATTAACATATCCTCATTATCTCAAAGTTATCAGCAACATTTGGTGTTCTGCTGGTCTTACTGTGGATGTAAGGAGCTTATATGAGGCTTACATAGCATAATGCTATTATAAGACCAAAAGGCTTCCCTTTACTTAGTACATAGCCTCAGGATGTGATTTTTAGTTAATATATGATACAGTTTGTAAATTATGCTCCTTTGATCCATGGGACAGCCAGCAAGTGATGTCCAGGTTACCCTTCGCAATCTTATTTCCTGCTATTGTTACTTTATGCCGACTACTTACAAACTTACTAACTAGAGGGGGTCTGAACACGATGCGATTTTAACACAGTTCCCTTTTGGATCTGTTGAGTTTAAGACCTCTCATGGACATCCAGTTTGAGATGTCTGAAGGGCAATTAGAGATGTGAGGTGAGAGGTCAGCAGAGAATTTCCTGAAGGGTAGGTAGATTTGAGAATCATCAGTTTAGAGCTGGTAATTAAATCTACGGGAGCTGATGAGATCACCAAGTAAATTAGTATAGAGGGAGAAGAGAAAAGGACAGAACCCTGAGAGACACCTACAGTTTAAAGGGGGTGATCTGGAAGAGGATCCAGCAAAGGAACAGGGAAGGAGTGGTCTGAGAGATAAGAAGAGAACCAGGAACCTAGAGAGAAGAGAGTATCAAGGAAGAGAGAGTGATCAGTAGTGTCAAAGGCTGTAAAGGTCAAGAAGAATGAGGATGAGAAAAGGTTATTGGATTTGGCAACTAAGAGATCATCAGTAACGTTGGAGAGAGCAGTGTCAGTGGAATG